TGAACATTGACTGGAAATTATAAATATTTTTAGTTTTTAAAAAAAATCCCGGACTCAAAGGGTTAATGATGCAAACTATAAAGTGAGAATTAGAATTGTTAGAGTGACAGTGAGTCATTGATCCATTACTCATTATTGACAGCAAATAATGATAAACGATCAGGCTAGACAATTTAAAAAGGTTACGCAGGCTTGTTTTTTTCAAACAAATGCTTTTTTCATAAATCAAATACTTTTTACTAATTTCGCAGTCTATTTCTAAGAACGAACATAAATCAAATTATTTTATTAGCTCATTTTGATGTCAGATTAGAGTTATGGAAATAAAATTGAATAATAACTTACGAGAAAAGTTCTTCAGCTACCAAATCACTTTTCAGTCTAGACTATGTATATTATGTAGATCCAAATGGACATATCAAATACTTTGAAAAGAATTCATTCACATTGTTTATTATTGCAGAAGTACTGCACTTTTACAGTGTTTTTCTTTTTTACATGAATGTCGTGATCCTCTCGTAAGGAGTACTAGAAAAAATAATTTTCAAATTTTGACTTGAAACTTTGCATGGAGAAAAACTTTAACAAGAATAGTTTTTTGTCAATATTTCAGATCATGTCGCTATTTTCATCCTAAAATACAACTATGATAGTAGCAGATCTTTTATATTGCTAATACAAATCTGTAAGGATTTGTCTCGTTAATATTATAATTGATTACAGATTCATTTTGATTGTCTACTATTCATAGCATATATATATATCTTGCATAAATATAAGAGATAAAAAAAATCAAGAAGTAGAGTAAGTATAAAATTAATTTTCATATCTAATGGACAGTTAATGAATATGTGTAGTTCATCTCGATTGTCATGTCCGGAAAAAAAGTTCATGATTATTGATAGATAACGAGAGAAAGGAAGTGTACAGCAATTAAAAGCGAACAACATCATAATATAAAAACGAAGCCCTAATGTAATTACAGTAGTGATTGGAAAGAAGATATGACTCATTGAAGGGTTAATTTGAATGATTCATCGATCGATACGAAAACAACCCTATCGATTCTACCTATGACATGTTGTTTTAAACTAAAGTAAAAATCATCTTTTGACACAACTCAATTCTCGTAATATAAATCTGTCTGAAACAAAAGTCCATGTTATCATAATTTCTTGCAATATTGATCGACTAGATTTTTCATGCATTTTTCTTGTACATTGACAATTAACGGTAATAGATTGAATATGTATAATTTAAAATGAATTATTTAAGTATTAGATTGATCATAGATTTTTATACGAATATAAAATAATGATTACCTGGATCTCTAAGAATAGCTTTTGTTATACAACATGTAATAGCATTAAGTAAATTTTCCGAAGAAAATTTTTTAATATTTCCCATAACTGTCTTTTCATATTCTAATTGTTCGTCTTCAGTCATTGTTGGTGATACATATGTTTCTGATTTTTTTTTATTTTCATATTCAATTTCTTCGTCTATCGAACTTTGATTAGAATCAATCGTAATGGCTGACATATTTGAAACTTGATCTTGCAATGGATAATGTGTTGTATAATGTGATTGATTAGATGAATAAGGATGATGATGATGATTACTAGAATATGGTAATGAACCATCTTGTGATAAAAGCATATTTCCTAATGTATTAGGATTTATTGAAAATATCATAATACCAGGATCATCATAAAATCCTTGACTAAATGATGGCGCAGTAGTTGTTTGCGATGAATAAGAATCATTGCCTGTTGCTGCACTCTGATTATCATTTTCAGTTGTTTCAATTGTATTTGCTTGAAGATTTTCAATATATTCAGCAAATTCAATATGATTATTTTCACGTGCTATGTCATTTATTGTTTTATTATCAACAGCTACATTAAGTTTAAAGTGGCATATTGTACTTAAATCTTTAAACATATCGAGATGACCTATTGATGCAAGATAATGTACTAAATAGAATCTTCTATATGGCGGTTTTTCATTAACAATATCCGGTTGTTGACGAAGAAATTGTCGTACTAATTCCCATTTACCATCACGAGCATTGTGTAATACTTGATCACTAGCAACAAGACGTTCAATACAACGTAACATTTGTGGATGTATATGTGCACGTTCTGAAGCAACTTCACGAACAGTTTTATCATCTAATGTCTTACATAGAAGACGAAAATTTTCATTTGAAATTTGATGAGTAAGAACTTCATTTAAATGTGAAACATTACCAAAAAAAACAACTTGATGTAATATTGTCCATCGACGACCTTTATATTACGAAAAAACAAAACAAGCATATGTGTTTTTTTTTTGTCGTTTACAAACAAACCTTCTGGAATTCGTGTTAACCATTCGGGATTATTTGATATAGCTAATGATACTCTATGCCAATTATAGTTATTTTTTGCATATTCATATGCTTGCATAAATGAAGGAATTTGATCATTTGGTGATGGTGTCGCTGGGGTTACTGGTGGTGTCGATGGAGTTATTGGTGGTGTCGATAGAATTACTGGTGGTGTCGATGGAGTTATTGGTGGTGTCGATGGAATTATTGGTGGTGTTGATGGCATCATTATTGGTATTAATGGAACTGTTGCTTGAGTTCCGTCATTTACTAATTGTCCATTTGAATTCGATACTGATGTATGTTCCGACATTGATGAAGTTTTATTTTTTCTAGAAAGAAAACTAAAAAAAAAACAAACCATTTAAATAAAATAAAATAATATTAATTTCAATGGGCACGCACTTTAGTTTCGACAGGAACTGAAACATTGTTAATGAATAAACTTTAATGTATTGTTTGTTATGCGTTTTTACTCACACAAATGTTCAAGCAAAGAAAAACGCGTGAAAAAAAAAATAGTAAATGTTGTGATTCGATATAATGACAATGTTTGTAACCAAAACAACTCAGTATTTTTCTTTTTTTTTTAACGACGTTAAAATGTCACATGTTGTCTTTATTTCATGCAAGGAAGAAAAACAAGATACTGTTCTTTTTTTTTTTCTTCGTATTTACATAGGTTGATTTATGCGCCGAACAAATAATTATTTATACATACTATTTTTTAGTTGGAAAAGAAAATTTCGATAGGCGTTTTTATAATGTATTCATAATGCGTTAAGATTAACATAATAGGAAGCAGATCTATTGCAAATTTTTTTTTTTTTAAACAGATTTATGAGGACAATTTGTTCTAACAACATTTACGGCGAAGATAAGGATGGATTTGTGAAATTTGTCATTGACCTTTTTTAAATTATTTTTTCACATACTACAAAGTACTTTCAAAATATTTATTAAGTTGTCATACTAGCTGTATTTACTGATTAGAGCTTTTATTTAGATCGCAACGAAATAATCATTTAAAAAAAAAGATGCATCCTCCGTTATTTATCAGGATGCTGCGACATATGTAGATTTTTATATAAAAAAAGTAGAAGAATTCATCTAGTTGTTGGAGAAGAATTAAAATAAAATTTCATAGACAATATTAAGGGACATATATAAAATGTGCAATCAGAGTGTTCAAATACTATTTTTATCCGATGTCGGATGTTTGTTCATACTATCATGTGTATGTCGCAGTACTCATATGAACCAATGATGTATTCCGGCAGTAGATTATCAGTCAGAGGATAATCACTCACTTAAGCATCAAACTACCACCGGTATAGTTCACATTATTTCGAAAGGTTATATTTACAAAATTTATAAATGTTTTCTATTATTTATTAATTCTCCATTTTCTTTTATAACGATAGTCTTCTCCTTTTTATTTAATAATCATTATAACATTACGTTGTATTTATGTAAAAAAAAAACTATGTAAACTGCAACACGTTAACGAACACGGGTCGTAAGCAGAAGCACTCTTCCTTCTTTCTTTCATATAATGACTCATGTCTTGTCAAGCGTATCACAATACTGCTCGATATGCTCAATTAATAGTATAGTATCACATATCTACATATAAATGAATACAATCAGGTAATATTTTACAAAGCAATCAAATTTTCTTCTGATAGAATGAATAAAAAGTTTCGAAAATTGCCTTCTTAAATCCGTCGAAAAGATTCATTTTATTGCACAACAAAAAGATAATAGATTAGATCGTATTCAAGTAGAGATGTGTCCGATAAGCTTTTTTCTTTAGTTTGTATCCTAATTCAGGACTATTTTCTAATATTTACCTTACCATATCTGGTAGATTATCTGTCTTGATCTTATCCTACAAAATTTTTATCTTAGTATCTCTAGAGGTATGTAACTCTTTTGGTTCTCCGTGAGAGAAAAATCAGTCGGGCTCAAATTTTTACCCTTGCTAAACTATCGAACATCAGTTCCATCATTTTCGAGAACCTAGCTCGAGTAAAAAAAAATCGAGTCCGACCGATTGTACTCTCTCGAAGAACCAGAAATGGTCCAAAAGAGGGGCGTACACATAATATTATCCTTGTTGGAAGACGCAAGAAGTGATAAATAGCAAAATAGTATCACAACAAAGACATACAAAGTAAACTTTTTTCGTTATCAGTACCCTAGTCGAGAAACATTTTTCTAACCCTTATTCTATTCCGTGCATCTCTATATCTAAATAATATACTTATTCATTTGTAGATCGAAAAGTTTTTATCATGAAAAAGAAAGTTAGATTCAAGTACGAACTTTTTTTCTGAGAAGAAAAATATCTATTTGAGGAATCATTTTAAAAACAAATACTATGTTTTTAATTCTAGTTATCGATAAATTTAACCTATTAAATTTCTATCCTATTAATTCAAAATAAAACATAAAAAAATATGTTATTAAAAATATTTCTATTATATAAATAACAATAAGAAAAATATTTGTAAATATTTACAAATTGACAATCAAATTTTTCATATATTTCTATAAGTTGGATCTTCACCATCTTGTAGTATTTCTCCAATTAAAATTTTCTCTAGAATATCTTTTGTATCACATATTTTATAATGAATATAATTTTGAACATTTATCGAATTCATTTTTTATAAATATCTAAATAAACAAAAAAGATAACATATAAAAGAATAAAAGTAATTTTTACCTATTGGACAATAGCGTTGTTGAAGTTCATCATAAATAGTTGCTAGAGTATTATCATAATCATAATTTATATTTGTTAATGAAATACTCGATAGAAAAAAATAAAGAACTGTATAAAAATGAAGAACGAAAATTATGTAGCTTGTACAATTCTTGCTAAATCCAATTATATTTTGTATCAAATTGATATTGGTGACCGGTAATGTCTTCTGTAGTCTAATGTTTTGATTTCGATTCTAAATCTGATGTTCGTCAATAGTTGTTGTTTAATTCCATCTTACGGGTTAATTTGAAATGCATTCTTCTCTTTCACATCATAAGAATTTTTCTTTGCATGCATTCTTCTCTTCGTAGCATAAAAACTTTTACCAGTTTTGTTTGTGTTGTTTACTTAGCTTTCTTCCTTCTTCGTCATGACGCTCGTTGAACTTTTCAATCTTATTAATAACCATAGGAATTTCCATCGTATCCACGCTTATAGATAGAATATAGCTTCGCACTAAATGACTTTCATCTTCTCTAATTTTATCTTCAGAGTTGTTTATCTGAGATATTCTCATTTTTTAACAGCCATATAGCGCCATCGCTGCGTGTGCTGTATTATCTGACGAGGGAACCATCCGATGTGTCAAAAAGCTTTTCAGTCGGGGATATGATGGTTAGATAGGGCATAGCTAGGAGTGATATACCCTAAGTTAGTTAGGGCCCATGTTGCTTCTAGCAGGAGTTATGAAATGTGAAATTTAGGTATAAAAATGAATCAGGGAAGGTTTTTCTCCACTATTGTAAGGATAAGACATAGTGTTATTCGGGTCGATTATGGGGTTTGTAGGGATCCTCTTTGATATGGCTCGAACAACACCATGTTTTGTCCTTATAATAGTAGAGTGACTTTTTTCTGTAGCTCATAGAAAACGGCGTTTTCTATCAACCAGCAAAAAAATTCGCTTTACTATTATAAGAACAAAACATGGTGTTGTTCGGGCCATATCAAAGCGGATCCCTACAAACCCCAGAATCGACCCGAATAACACTATGTTGTACCCGTACAATAATGGAGAAAACCTTCCCTGATTCATTTTTATACCTAAATTTCACATTTCATAACTCCTGCTAGAAGCAACATGGGCCCTAACTAACTTAGGGTATATCACTCCTAGCTATGCCCTATCTAACCATCATATCCCCGACTGAAAAGCTTTTTGACACCTCGGGTGGTTCCCTCGTTAGTTCTTATCTTGTTCTGGAAATGATAATGGAGAGTGCAACTACTTTATTGGTATCTTGTATTCTTAAATAAAATGACGCACTTAGCCAGGGCGCCATCTATCATTGCCCACTTAAAACTAGAAGACACGCTAGTGTTTTACTGTGACTCAATCTCCACTACCAGGATATCCGAAAAAACTACAACGAAGAGTTTTAATTTAAAATTTTGTATATAGATAGATCATTCTGAAATTTTCAATGAAAACGAACATGTATTTCTCAAGGTATTCATTTTCCAACAAAAAAACAACAACCGTGTACCATGGTAAGATGCAATAATTCAATTTACTGAAAAATATGTTCGTTTTCGTTGAAAATTTCCAGAATATTTATCTACAAGCAAAAAGTCAAATCAAATTTCTTTATTTTGTTTCTGTTCAGAGTGATTGACTCTCAAGAAAACGGCCGTAACTTTTCGTCAGTATGCCATGTGCTCGAATTCTATTAGATTTTTTTCTTCTCTTATCGCAGTACACTCTATTGAATGACGCATGAATAAATCAAAACGGAACTAAAAATATCAAGTAGTTCGTTTGTGAATTGAATTTATCAATGAAAAGTCTTAATAAAAACGAAATATAAAAGAATTAAATAATTATGTCTTGTTTGCTGATAATTTCTATCAATTGAGCAAACATAAGTAGTATGATTTTAATATGCAAATCTTGATCAATACAGACGAAACGAAACAACGCAATAGCACGAGAGACATGTGTAATGAAAGATGTATCATATCTGGCGAACATAATAAATCAATCTTCAATCATGTTTTTCTCTTCTTTATGCACTCACCACAAGCCAACTGACTGTATGCATAATAAGAACTAGTTGATGTTTCTATTTCTCAATTTTCCACATTTCTATTAGTCCAATTCTATACATATATTTGTGGTTAGTAATTTTTTTCTTAAACTAAATCATACTTTTAGCATTCAATTTCATTCTATGTGCAAACAAAAAGTATATTACAGAATTATAGATCTACTTCGTACAAAAATGTTTATTCTATTTCAACAAAGAATGATACTCATTTCGTAAGACCACTGGTGTACTCCGTACAATTGTTCCCTTTTCTGTTATTGCTGTTTATTTTTTAATAGTATACTATAGTGGTTGCAAAAGTCTTGCTATCCGGTAAAAAAAGTACATCAACTTTAATCCCCCAGTCTCATAGTTTGACCACAAATAAAGCATGTTAAACTCTAGTTGACCTTCTTCCGGATCAATGTAATTATCAACAAAAAATGCCATATCAAACAGTTTTATTTTGCTTGATTTATGAAGTATTCTCGAGGTTATCTGCATATGAGAATTATCGAAATATGGTCAATATCTATAGCTAATTTCATTCATATGCATTGAAAATTTCACGATCGTAGGCATCAAAGAAGAAATGATCCATGCTGAAATCGTTCTATACGATAAAAACTTCCATATGCCTCAAAATTAGAGCGGATTGAAGTACTCTATCTATGACGCAATGTACATAAATGCACTTTTATTGTAAGTCTATTGTATAAAGGTCAATCGAGCTCATATTGCTGCTTGCTATTATAGTTTACCGAGCTCTTATTTGTAGTCAAAATATCAGGTAAAACGATTGAAGTTCTTATAGCTTTTTATCGGTAGTGGGACTTCTGTACGTGTACTTAATAAGAGTTCTATTCGTTGTTCATGAATAACAAATGTTGCTGGAGTGAAACAGTCGCGTTAACATATGAATATCATTCTTTACTGAAATAGTAAAAAAACACACATGTACTACCGAAAATAATTATCTTAGGTGAACGATTTTTTGCAATAGAAAACATAATGTTCTGCTTTATCTTTAACACTACGATTATCATGAAATAATATTTAAAATAAGAAGACATGCAATTAATTTATCCAAACCAATAATATGATTTCCTTGATTATACAATGGAACATATTTTGCTTTTCAATCAGATATTAATGCATCAAGTACTTGTGTTTCAATACATGCACGTACTTCTTTATTCTTTAATTTGAATAATTCTTTTAAATAAATTGTAGCTGAAATATCGAGTAAATTGCTGTTGAAATGCAGAACGTTCTAGATTAACATCTACAAACAAAGAATATCTTTTCGAAAGATTTCCTTACTCTTAAAAATTATTTGCTATTCAATCAATAATGTTACCTTTCCATCATACATCCTTGTCTCTGGTATGAATTGTATAGTATACTGTTAATGTTGTTAAGACTTGACTTGAATTTCATCATGTAGACGAAACTGAAGAAATGACTAAAGATTAAAAATGAATATAGGAAGTTTTGTTTTTTTAATTTGACATACTTTTTTTTTAATAACAAATAATTGTAGACAAAATGTTGATAATATTTATAATAAACAAAAATATATATATATATATATCTAATGAATTAACTTTAAAAATGTAACAAACATATCATATTTATCTTTTTTCAATCATATCTGAACGTGCAACGTCAATCAAGGTTCAAAAAAATATAAACAGAAAAAAAAAATGTTTTATCTGCGACCGGGGATGCGGAGAAGTTTTCCTGAGTAAAGGATCAAAAGAAGATAACCAAAAAACAAAAACAAAATAAAGTCAAACAGTAAATACAACTTGAAAAATGAAATTGTTTTACTATTGATGATCGGGTGGTGTTCTTGGCATAAGTTTTCTTTGTTGATAATAATTTTCTTTTCCAATTTTTAATCGTCGTTGTCGACGACATTTTGTTCGATCAATTCTATTCATATTATTATTATTATTATTTGTTCTTGTTGATTGTTGTTGAGTATACATTGATTGAAGAAAATCTTGTGTTACAACAATACATTTTGTAAATGATGGTTTAGAATTTGTTTCTGAAATAACTTGAACAATTTGATGAGATGGTGTTGTTAATGGTTCATGATGCATAGAAAATAATTGTTCTAATGCTGTATTAAAATCTTCATTATCATTCGTTATTAATGGTGGTACAGATGGTACTGGTGTATCAGGTAAATCATGTTGATAATCCATTGGTGGTGTTTGACTAATTAAATCATTAAGACCTACAGTTAAAAAATCATCATCAAATAGTAAATCATTTGAATTATTATTATCGATTTGTGAAGATAAAAATGTTTCGTTAAGACATTCTAGAAAAAAAAAAACAACAAGAAATTATTGTTCAATTTTTTTGACAAATAAATAAATAAACAAACCAGTTTGTTTTGATAAATTAAAAAAATTTTGAAAATCAAGAACTTCTAAATCATTTTCATTTTGATATTGTTCAGGATTTTCATAATTTGCATATAGACGTGAACGAAGATGAACAAGATGTTTATTTTCATCAAGAAAATTTAAAAATGTTTTTGACATTTGTTCATTTTCAAGATATTCTAATATTAATAAAGCTTCATCTTTAGGTGAAAGATTTAAACCATTATTATCCGTCATTGGTTTTTTTTTTTTTTTTCTTTCTAGAGATATATTTATAAAAATCTGTACACCAGTTTAAAGAATAATTATCTAAAAATATAAAAATCAATATTTATTTAAATATAAATAAAACAAAACAACAACAGTAAAATCAACTGAGATTATTGTTCTCAGTCAAAGAACAATGTACGTTAAAATCCAGCTGTTCGAAGAACAACAAATCACATCAAATGTTATTATAGATGGCAGTATGTGACAGGAATGAATAACATCTAATTGACAATGGGTTTTGTACAACATAACGTTCTATTCGTTTAAAAAAGTTTATCATATCATCAATGAAAAAATATATATATATATATTGGATGACTCATATACAGGTCATCCTATTTTCTGGTATATTGAAAATCATAGATTTATATTGGTTATTAGATTTCGTGACAGCATTTATCAGGTACTTTTTGACTGTAATGTAAGGTATACATTTTGTTTTTATTTTGATAATCCAGTAATGTATAGTAATTATAATAGAGCTGACTCCTACCGAGAAATTTGCTCTATTTACAAAATTTATTCAAAGTTATTCAGCTGAAAACCATCTGAAAAAATAAATCACTTAAACAGCAAAAGAGAATAATAATTGTATTTAAAAAAACTCTACAGGTCAAAGGGTTAAAACACTCTTTTGTGAAATATGATCTAACAGGAGTATTAAAGTATACGAGTTAAAATTTGAATTCTTCCTTCCCTGCAGACCATGACAGGCACAGATATATGATTACAGACTATATGTTAATAACGTCTCGTTCTAATATATGAACTAATTCCGTATTGCGTTTCGAGAGAATTACGTAAAAAGATGAAATAAAGTAATTTTTTCTGATTAACAACAATAGCTATAGATTGTGTTTCCATATAGAGAACTCAAAGAGGCTAACTTCCATAAAAAAAAACTCACAACTTTTGAACAAAGTTTACTCGAAATATGAAGCTTTCAAAAAATGTATACTGTATACAGACTTTATTAAAAAGAGTCTATATGTTGAAAACGTGATATTTCCAAGATATTTTATTCAAAACTTTTGAATTTTTTTACGCTAGCTAGTTTAGTTAAACTCTCTATATATGAATTTCCATTTCTATTGAATCAATTTCCTGTTCGTATAAAATCATAGTTCGAAATCGATCTTGTGAATCATTTAAATAATAACGTATTACTGACTTGAAAGAAATGTAAAAATAAGATGTTTTACAAAGCCTAGATAATCTAAAATTTTGTACATAATCATAAATATGTATATGTATTATAGCAGAAGACTTAACTTCAAAATAAAAGTGAATTGGTACTTGGGAATGTTGTCTTGTTAGACATTTTATATTAATCATAGTGTGAGTCTGGATCTAGATCTTCTTTCCACTTCCACTCACACTCACAAAAATATACATAGTAAAACCTCATAAAGTGTGGCAAACTCCGGTAGATCCTATTGAAAGCTTTCGTAAAACATGATAGAAAGAGTGACTGTGGATGTAGATATATATATATATGAATGTAGAATAAGCATCCACATTCGCAATATACTGTCGCGAAGTTCAAATCAATCTTTATTCTTCACTCATTGTTAATCCTGAATATAAAACAACATAATCGTCTTTCAAACACTGCTGCACTGCTTCGATACTTTGATCAGAGCCAGCCAAATCTAGATAATCAAATGGCACAGTTATTTGTTCAATCTCAAGTACCTTCATATAAAATGACAGAGCAGATGAATAGTTTTTCATCGAGTAATGCATAGAAGCCATGTTTCCGTAGCTGATAGCTAGGAGTGGATGATCGACAAGGAGAGTCATCGGGTAGTTTTTCATACTAAGATAGAGCAGTAGAATATTCTTCTATAGAATAATATGCATCACCGATGTTGGCATAGATTTTAGCTAATGAGAGTTGATTCGGTGAGACGGAATTTTGTTCAATGACCAGTGCTTTTTCATAAAACGACATTGCGGTCGAGTAATTGCCCATTGAATCATACACAACACCAATATCATTGTAGGTTATCCCAAGTGCAGCATCATTTAGCTTTAGTATTTTCCCTTAGATTTCGTGTCTTCTCATAAAATAAAAGAGTGATTGAATGATCATCCATTGCATCGTATACTGAAGCGATTAGAACGTACGTAGATGCTAACAATGAATCATCATGATTGAGACCAATATTTTTGTATGTGCAAGCGATGGATGCATGATTCGAGGAAAGCGTTTTCTGTTGTATATCGAGAGTATTTTGAAAAAAAGAAAGACCTTTTGTGTCATTTCTCATGCCTCGATATATATATTGATTCTATATTATTGTATGTGAAAGCCAAGTTTGGATGATTGAGAGAGAGAGTTTTTTGCTGAATATTCAATGCTTTTTGGTAGATTGCGCATGCATTAGATCAGTCCTGCAAAAGATCTTGAGTGTGACTCATATTATTATCGATGATAGCCAAATCAGAATGGGTAGGTGGAAGAGATTCTTGCTGAATTTCAAGTGTATTGCGAAAGAACAAGAGAGCTTGAGAGTAATCTCCTATTTCTCGATGAATACGAGCAATATTATGATAGATAATCGCTAAATCTGAATGATTTGGTTTCAATAATTTGAGTTCAATTTCAAGCGATTTCTGTGAAGAATCAAGTGCTTTTTTTTTATATCTCCCATATATCGATATAATATACCAATATTATTGTACATAATTGCCATCGTTGGATGATCAGATGGAAGCGATTTTTGTTTTGATTTCAAGTGATTTTTGATAAAATGCGAGTGCCTTCGAATAATCTCCCATATTTTGGTATATTTGTCCAATATTACTGGTAGTCGTAGCTAATGCTGGATGAGTTGTAGGAAGTAATTTTTGTTCGATTTTTAGTGATTTCTGAAAATATGAAAGTACATTGATTGGATCATTCAATGATTCGTACACAAGTGCAAAAATTGTTGTAAGTGACGGCTAAATCTAAATGATTATCAATCAAGTTTACATGTTTCTGTCGAATACGAAGAGAATTTTGACAAATTGAAAGTGCCATGTCATGATCTCATTTGCACTTATAGATAAATCCAAGTTGACAATGAATTGAAGCTAGATTTTTCCAGTCATTAATGGGTATAAGATCAAGCCATTTCTTGCAAAAATTCTTCAGCTTTATCGAATTTACCGATTTTAGTCATCAGATGACCTAATCCATTCCAACTAGTTATCCCTTTTAGATCGCTTCGAATGTAATTAGTGAGATATATTAATTGCTCATCTCTGTCATTAGTCAATTTCAATTTAACTTCCCAAAATCGATCTCCGATTTGTTCCATATGTCCAATTTCGCAAAAACTTTATGCATCGAAAAAAGTATTTCTTGTTCCGATTGATAGTAACTGATATTTTTTATCGATGCAAATGAAATCGATCTCTAGTTGAAAGAGAATAGCTGTCATCGAAGTACTTTGTCTTGCACTGTCGGCGAATAGTAAAGAGACCTGTCGACCGATGTTAGTCGATAAAAAATGATTAAACAACATAAGACCATCACTATTTTGATTCATCTTTTCAAACTCATTATTGAACATGTCCTGATCTCGATACAGACTCCGTTGATGATTACCTTTCACCGCTTTATCATGAAGATCTTCTATACAAAATCCCATCTTACTAATGTCTTCAATATCTTGTAATCTTAAAGCTCGATTGAATACATAATGGATAAAGGACTCTTTTGTGTACTGAAGATAATAAAAATCAACTACTTCTTTTCTTGCTTTTTCATCATGTTCAATGTCAACAATGATTTCTTTGGGTCATTGTATGTACATGAATGATGAATCTAATTCATTTAATTCAAGCGTTGAAGGACTGTTTGATGACAGAATTCTAATTGGAAATAACTAATTCTCACAAAATCAGATAACTTGTTGGATTAATTCACTAATATGTTCAATTTGTTTGAAGATTTCTTTTACTTTTTTCCATTCATTTATCCATTCTGCATATTCCGTTTGTGAATAACAGATAGTACAAGCTGAATCTAGTTGAGAATAATCATGGATCAGAGATATTAGATGATGACCAACAGCATTTTGGCCCTCTCAAAAAAGATCTTTTCATCTTCAATTTCAATCAGAAAATCAACGCATTCTTCCTGGTTTCTAAAAGTGTAAATTCAACCGACAATAGAACGCAGTTGATGTAAAGAATATTGATAATTAATTGTTAATTCCTCATCATTCGAGTTTAGTCAAATGATTATTATATTCTCGAGACGTCGAAGCAATTGAAATTATGCTTGATTTTTAGTGTTATGTAGCAATAAAGGTTGTATGTTCTCCTCTAAAGCATTATCATGTTTTAAGTTTTTTCTTATCATTTCATACGACATGGCAAACACAGGGTGTGAGTGTAGCTGTGGGTTCAGGTGATGAGTGTGGCAGTGCTTGTGAATGTAGCTATAGGTGTGGGGTGGCTGTGGCTGAGAGTGGTTGTTGGCGGATTTGAGTGTAAGATGTGTATTCGTCTTGTTTTGGTAGGAAATACACCCCGACTTCATACCCACAATCAGACTGGCAGCGCCACACACTCACAAACACAGAGATTCACCCACACCCACTCCTACACTCATTACCTGAACCCATATCTATACTCGTGTACCCATCTTCACACCACGCACACCTGACTCACGCCCACACCCAAACCCACACATGCACACCCACACCCTTATGAAGTCGCTGCTGAGTATTCTCTGTATCAGATCGATACCACCTACGACTACCCTCTAACATTACTGTTGTGAGAGAGAACCTTTTCAATAGTTATCCATTAATAGACCATTTTAGGGTTCTAAAATTTTTACTTAGACCTTTTGCTCCTCGGAAATGTAGGAAAATAAGCTTTTTTTTTGAGAAGCTTAAAATTTTTAAAAGTTTCATGAAATGTTTTCCATCGAGCAGGTTCTATATGTTACCTTTTTTTTCAGAGTA